ATAATTTTAATACTTTGTACTTTAGTTTAAATATTTTTTTTCCAAAATACTGTTTTTTCAAAACATTTCCGAAAATATATTTCCTTTTTTAATATATTCATACATAATTTTTTTAGCACAAAAAAATATAACATTTATTCTTTATGAAATTAATTTTTTTATATTTAATGTTACAGCACATTTTCCAAGGTAACCGTTAATTTTCTCAATAGCCTTGTGTCACTATAATTCGAATTTTTTTTTCATGTGCCCCTAAGTGGCAACACTATAATTGTAGCAATTAAAATTTGCGAGCCATGTTCTGCATTTTAATAATGCATGCAAAAAGCATTTTTTCCGAAAATTTATTCAAATTTTGAGTGCCCTGTATTCAATACTTCATGTACACATACGCACAGCCATGTAAATATGTGTCTACAATTAATTTATTTGCATTCGCGCACGATTTTATGCCAACCTTTCGTTTTGCACGAATTTCTAATTGGCTTTTGGTGCAAAAGGCTGTCATATTTTGACATTTGTTGACAGTTTTTTGGAAATTGCAAAATATTACATTTGTGCTTTATGCGCTGCCCTGGCGTATACGTAACATAAGTACTTCTCAATTTGCTCATATTGCAAGGGATTTGAAAAGCGCGAGCTTGCGATTTCCCAATGGCATTCATTTTTATTAACTCTGGCTTAGCATGCATTTGAAGCATATTTAAAGCACTCAAGCATATGAAATTCGAAGCTTATTGGCGAAATAAAGACATTTATGAATGATTTATTATGACTTCTTAAGTATATTGGGTGTTTTATATACTATTCAGCAAAGCCGACAAAATATATACCCGCTCTTCTTATGAACTTTTTTTGGTGTATAAATATTGAAAACCTTAAGGAGATAGGCCACTCTTCCGACTACAAAAAGAGCTAACTTGGAAAATTTGTTCCGGAAGGAAAGGAAGGGTCTTAATGAACATGTATTTGAGTATATACAAAAATATCTACAAGTATATTGACAATTCCATACAGAATGCCACCAATCTTTGGAAATAAAATTTCTAAAGAGGGGCTCTAGAGACGATGCTTTTCACAAAAACTTTTTATAACGAAAAAATTACACTGACTAAATTTTCTAGATTAGATCACTGACAGTGAAGCTATATTTCTCATGTGATGGTCTTCAAGAACGATCGTCGCCTGATATAAAAAAAAAGCTTCGAGAAAAAAGTGTTCAATATTTTAAGTGTTGAAGCATATTAGCACTTCGACACTACAGAATATAGACAGAGAAAACATTTTGACCTTTTCTAATAATTCTATACTATTTTTAGAAACCAGAAGTATAATTAGGCTAAAAACTCAAAAATTTTTAAAATCATAGACTGGCCTTAACTCCAAAAAATAGTCAAACCATTGTTTCACCACGTACATGATTTTAAAAACTAAAGTGTTTGTCACTTAGAATATTTCTAATAATATATTTATGTAAAATTCGGCGACATTCCTACTCGTGCGTGAGCGCTCCATGTTCCCTTGAAGCTCTTTCAACGGTAAAATAGAAAATGTTTAAACCTTCCGGAAACTAATGTCTCAAATTTTTTCAATTAACCTCAAAAAAGATCCAAACCCCATTTGTTTTGGTGTTTTCGCTCAGAAAATTTTCCCAAAACCTTAAAAAGAAATGAAAATGCTGAGTAGTAAAATAAGAAGAGTTTACAAATATCAAAGAAGCTGAAAAGTTACTTTGAAACCTTCTATATTATGCTTTAAATATATATTCACTTCTTTCAAAATAACAACCACTCTAATAACTCCACCTAACAAAACTTTTGCCCGTCGCCTTGTCGTATACTTAACACCTGCCTAATGACGCCTGCAAGTCACCATGTAACTCAACTATTCAATTAATTAAAATCACCGTTATTGCTTTTCTTCTCCCTCGTCAAATGTAAAAAAAAAAACAATGGCATCGTAACAAATAGGTCACAATGTCCGGCGTGACAACCTGCCTGCGTTTCCCCGGCCAACTAAATGCTGATCTGCGCAAATTGGCCGTGAATATGGTGCCGTTCCCGCGTTTGCACTTCTTCATGCCGGGCTTTGCGCCACTCACCGCCAAGGGTTCGCAACAGTATCGCGCTTTGACTGTCTCCGAACTGACTCAGCAAATGTTCGACGCCAGGAATATGATGACAGCGTGCGATCCCCGTCACGGACGCTATCTAACAGTGGCGTGCATCTTCAGAGGTAAGTGATGTAGAAAAGAAATATTTCTTTATTTACTTTTTAAGTATTTATGTATACGATAAAACTTGTTTAGCCAAGCTCTATGTTTGGCTAAAGGTAACACAGTTGGCCAAGTGGAAAACTCCAGTAAATGTATATAGATATATCTTCGTTAAAATTTAGTATATGTACATACAGCTGGTGCTTTATGATTTCCATGGCTACTAAATATGAATGATCATACCCTTACAAATCAATGAAGCACTCTGGGCTTACCATAAATCGGTTATGACGTCTAATATCAAATACTTCGCCAGCATCGCCGAAAGTGTGTCTACCGAGTTTCTTCGACCTCACTCTAGCAAAAGTTGAACAGTTGAAAAGAAAGTATTCAAATAATTCCATCTCCCTTTATACCCTGAACAGGGCATATAAAGTTTACCCCAATGTTTTTAACACCCAGAAGGAAACGTGTGTGATATATATGATATAAAATATATACCTAAATAGTCGGCACGACAAGCTGAGCTGATTTAGCCATTGCGTATGCAAACTAGTCCTTCAGTTTTCGAGATATCGATCTAAAGGTTTTCAAACGTTTTTTTTTTTTCTCCCCAAGAAGCAGCTTAAATATAGGAGCCGCAAATATGAGATTGCTATACGAGATATCTTATCAAAATTTGGTGTGGGCGGTTGTCTGAAGGAAAAATTCAATATCCTAAGAAATTGCGCAGATCGGATTAATATTGCATATAGCTATATAGCTGCAATACAAACTAATCGAACTGGAAGTAACTTCTTCTAAGGACTTATTTGTGTTTGTGAAGGGGGTTATAGCTTCGGTGCAACCAAAGTTAACAAGTTCTCTTTCAACTTTGGCAATTTGTGCTCCACAAGATATGAAACCATCCTACAAGCGGGTATATGGAACATTGTCAAGTTAAATGCCAACAATGTGGGCTAGATGAACCTTGTTATGGAAAGTAGTTCACAGAACCTCTTTACCGTTTTGTTTTATGGCAGAATACGGACTCATTACCAATCTGATGAAATTGCGATAACAGTGCTCTCTTTAGCAAGCTCATCACCTTTGCAGTTCCAGAAAAATTCACATTACCTGGCAGCAAAATTTTTCGGATGGATAACAAAGTAGCTTGATACTATTAGTAAAGGGGTCAGACACTCCTTGACAAATCTTGATTGCACTATCAGCGATCTCTGCTAATAGAGTGAACATACAACTCTTTAAAGGAAGCTGCAACCAACTATTTGCAGCAGAAATCGTCGAGCTCATTAAAAAAAAACTGCAAACTTGAAGTGCTAATCCTTTCTAATTGACAAAGCTTTCAAAAACTCCAATCAGATATTTTTGATGTAGCAGCATACAAATTGTTCAAGGCAAATTTAGAAACAAAAAGTCTCCGTGATAATTTTAATGTGTTTTATCAACAGGAATATCAATTGGCAATAGATAGCTTTACCAGAGCTTTAACCAGACGGATCTTATCTAAGCCAACATAATATATCCTTTGATCCTGTTTTTCAACTGCCAGCTCGAAAATTATTACATCCGAACCGTGAAGTTTAATTGTTAAATTGGTTGATAAAATTTAAAACATCTTTAGTCATAAAAAGCTAATATTTAAGAGTAATTCGATCGAGGTTCACTCTGTTTCTGGGTTTGTTGGGTATTTTGGGTTCATACTCGACTCGTACCGATAAAGCTGAATTTTTTTCGCATAGAGCAACGATTCTGACCGAATTTAAAGCGAAGAACGCAATGAATACCATCGATCAACCACAGTATCCACCAAATTTGACTCTGCCTGTATTTTTTTTGTTCCCTAAACTGAAATTACCGCTCCGAGGAACTCGTTTTCAGTCGATCGAAAAGATAAGACAAAATTCGCTGAGGGAACTGAAGACCAACCCAAGAAGTTCTCATGAAAATCGTTTTCAGGACTGAAAAAATCATTGGCATAGGTTTATTACATCTGATGCGTATTACTTTGAAGGCGAAAAAATAATTTTTGATGAATAATTAAATATTTTGCATTTTTCTTACAATTTCCGTGTACTTTTTTGTCACGCTGTATAGGTAAATATATGTACGTATGCATTTCCTTCAACATTTATTTAATACCTTCGCTTTTCATTGCTTGATGAGTCGTACAAATCCTTTACACTGACATTGACTTATCCTCGTGTCAGTCGCTAAAGCGACGCCTTAATGCCACGCGTATTTATGCAATTCGTTGCGAATGATTAATTAACAGTATGCGTCTGGCAAATGCGCGTGGCATGACACCGAATATTTGTATACTATAATACTCCTTTGACTCGTAGATAGCTTAGCACTCAGCTTACGTTTACTAGCTGCGGGTCACTGCGCGCTTTTGCTGATTAAAATCTGCTGCTACTATTCCTACCAGCTCGTGAACACCCTCTTTTGGAGCATATTACGCTCGTATTGGATGAAAAATGCGTTCCACTATCTGCCAAACGCCTGTTGCGCCAAACTTGTTGTTCGTGCCTGCACCACCAGCAGCTGATTAACGTGTTTAGCTGGCGATTTGTCAAAGGTCCGTAAGCCATTTTCGTTTTATTTCAACTTTCGCTCTTTTTACATGGCTGATTTGCGGCGTGTGTTTGTTGCCTAACTCCAATAGGGTCTTCGTCATGCAACTGACCGTTGGTTAGTACAAAAAATTGGCGTCTGTAGTGCGGTTAGTCTTGGTTGTCCGTTCAAACACTCAAGTTAACAAATGATAAGTAAAAAAACACTCTCACCCTTTTTCGCTCGCGGGCCTATGACTTTTCAACTCGACGCCACGCCACAATTTGTTGTGGTTGTCAACATGTGCCACTCTAATGCGGTTTGCCACAATAGATAATACAAACTTGAAAACAATAAAGGCATTTCGAATACAAAAACCCGTCGTTGACGCAAAAAAGAGAAAAATAGTTTTTTTTTTTTAACAACAACACATAAACACCTCGTTTATTTATTTGGTGTTTTTTGTTGTTATTTTTCTGTTTTTTTTTTTCCAAAGCCACCTCGTCTGCCAGCCGAAAAATAGGCAATGTAATAATAATAAGGCAAACGGAAACTTCGCCACTTTGTCATTCCATTTAACACTTAGTCTTCTTTGCGTCTACAACAACACATAGATACCTCAGTCTGTGACATATATATATAAGGAAAGTATAAATAATAGTCGCTTTCTGCGTTTGCTCCCACAGTCACGTTTCGCCGTTGACAGCCCAACAAACCAGCCAAAAAGGCAAAGCCTACTTTTGGGCCCCACTAAAAATGATTAATGAATTTGAAAATTTTTAACAAACTTACGGCTCCTCGGCCACCCACCACGCCCCGACACGCCGCGCACATTGTTTGTGTTTTATTTTTACTTTTTTTCAATGACATTTCGGTGTTAAAGAGTGCGACTTGTGCCCAACTACCGTGCTAACAAGCATATGCCTCTCATTCCAACGGCTGGAAAGACTAATTTCTAAAACAAAAAATTAAGTAAAAGTGGAAATGAAATAATTAATAATGTGCCGTTAAAAAGGTGTCGCATGTGCGTGTACTGGCGTTTTGTAATCCGGCTTTGTTGTTGTTGTTGTCCTCCGAATTAAACGGAGCGGCGGATTAATGTGGCAAATTTGTGTGTTTTAGGGGAAAACAAGTAAACGAATTGACGAAATTAATTAGCAAGCAACCGCGTGGGATTTCGGCGAGCAGTTACTGTTGCGGATCAAGGTGCGTATTTTGCGTTGATCATCAGCTGAGCAATTTCCAAAGCAAAATGGTTAATGTTTGATCAACATTTTGCAGGGAATTAGCCTGTTTTAGCAAGACCCGACCTTAAGGCGAAAAGGGTTAGATGAGTGGAGGGAGGTGAGGCTCGTCGATTATGAGGCTAATAGGCAAGATTTGAAGTTTCCAAAGTATCCAAACCACTATTACTTTAAGTTTTCTTCAGGTCTTCTTTTGCGTTCGATAGTGTTTTCTGTTCCTCCTTCCAATGTTCCGTCTTTGTTCCATTCTGACAAAAACCACCCATCAAACATTGAAGAGAAGCTCCGCCGTTTTGCTTGATTCCTCTTTTTGTTGCAACTTGGACCGTATATCAGCAATAACGGCTGTAGCGCCGTCTTGTTCTAACCAAAGTTCGTCTACAAATCCTCCAACTCAGCCTGGAAAAAGTCCCTAATCATACCGACTCTGTTGAGCGATTAAATTGATCGAAAATTTGACGCAGCGGGGAATGAAGACTAACTGCAATGCCATGTTTTTGCCTTCAGCACTTCGATGAGCAAATAAAGTGAAGTTTTTGGTAACTACAAGACCTCAGTTGATTTCGAAACTGCAATAGTAATCGAAGAGATCATTGCAGCTCTGCCTTCGCAGAGGCGACTTTTACACCTGGTTGACCGATCACTCTTGCCAACAGCTGCTACTTCAGACTGAGTTGGCAATTGAAAAGTAAAGTTCTCTTTCGACGAAGTAGGACCAAATTCTACAAGTTCTTCATCATTCCCGTCCTGCTATATGGTGAAGTGGCATGGAGAATAAGTCGGCTTTAAGAGTGTTCGAGAGAAAGGTTTCGCGGAAAATGTATGCTCCTTTGCGCATTGGCAACAGCGAGTACCGCTGTCGATGGAACCGTGAGATATCTGACGACATTAACATAGTTCAGCGAATCAAGAGACAGCGACTACGCTGGCTAGGTAATTTTCTACGTATGGAGGAGAACACCCAGTACCCGCCAGTGGAAGCAGAGAAGATTTCCACTCCGTTGGAGAGATCAGGTGGAAAAGGACCTGGCTGCACTTGGTACTTCGAATTGACGCCAAATAGGGAAAAGAAGAAACGTTCACTAGATTTTCTTCGTTAAAGGCAAGTCCGCTAGAGAAATGTTTCGTGAGGTTGGTGATGGGATGGTACCCTATCACTTCGAACTATGGAGGAATGGTTTCGACGATTCAGAGCGGGTGAAAACGACACCATGGACGAAGAAACCCGATCAATTCATGAAAACCATCGAGTTAGACCGGCATGTGGCATCTCGTGACATCGCCCAGAAGATGGCAGTTAGTCACCAAACCATTTTATACCATCTACGGAAGGCTAGATACACAAAAAAGCTTGATAACCACCTGCGATATGCTGGCGTTAATGGCGACTGGCGACGAAAAATGGATCATATACGACAAGTCCGGTGAATCGTCCCAAACAGTGGTGGGATTGAAAGGGAATCATCCACTATTATAATAGCTGCTCCATTTGGACGGACGCTTAAATGTATTATCTACTGCGAACAACTGGACCGCTTGCAGCAGGCGTTCGATCAGAAGTGTCCAGAATTTGCCAACAGGAAGGACGTAGTGTTTCACCAGGACAACGCCAGACCACACACTTCGTTGATGACTCGTCAGAAGCTACGAGAGCACTTATGGGAAGTCTTATCGCATCCACAAACATAGCCCGGACGTAGCGCCAAGTAATTACCACCTCTCCCTGTCTATGGCGTATGCCCTTGTTGGTGTAAAGTTGAACTCAAAAGAATCTTGTGAAAAGTGACTGTCCGAGTTCTTCGAAGGAAGGATGGGGCTTCGACGAGGAGAGTATTAGTTGCCGTTTAGATTAATTTATCGAACGAAACCGCCGCATATTTGAACTAAATCCGATCACAGTAAAACTTTTTATAAAGCATTGAATAAAGAGCAAAAAAGCGGAAGGGAGATATTTTAGAAAAACTTCCACACTGAATTTGAGCCCATGAAAAATCACACCAATTACCGATTTGTATAAAGAAATATTTAACTGTTTCCAAACTTCGTGAAATATTCAAACAGTCAACTGTTAAAAAAGCAAACCTCCATCGAGCTATTCCGCTGAGAGTAACTAAAGTGAACTTTGCCGAAGTAAATTATTGTCAAAACACACAGCAAAGAGAATAATCAAACTAGAAGTATGCAAACAGACTAATAAACGGAATTTGTATTATTCAAAAACTCATGGGGAATTCATTTGCTACGATTCGTAAGCAACAGCACCTGTATTTAATATGTATGTGGCCATAAACACAACACGACTGTAAAGTTGCAGCAGATGTGGTTAAGACGCAGCAAAATAATTAATCAAAATATGTGTGGAAAATAAAAATGAAATAGCAACAAACAAGCATTTCAGTTGGCTTCGGAGATTCGCGCCACGCAAAGCGACAGTTTCTTTTTCCACGTGTTAGGAAAATTTTACAAACGTTAAGACCAACTGACTAGAGCTTAGCCTAGATGAGCCCAGCTAAGGATTTTGGCAGCCAAACTCTCAAACAGAGAGGTGAGCGAAGAGACGGTGTTAGGTTTCCAAAGGTGAGCAAGTTGCCGAGTCAGTGAGGCTAAGCGTAGACAAATCGCACGCTGTGCAAGCCATTAAACGCGATCCCGCAGGAATTACGTAGAAGCCGCCGTAAAAGGTACACAAATAAAATTCAATGAAGCGGCAGATTGTTGGTTGCGCGTTTTCTTATTTCTTTTTTGTTTTTTTTTTTTGTTTTTTGTTTTGCTTTTTCGGAGTAACGCTACGGAAATGGCAGCGTAAAAGCTGACATTAGCAACAGTTTAACATTTCATATTTGGGGAATTAGGGATACGGTTGTATTATATATATATTTTTTTTTTAGTATTTGTAGATTTCTCCACGGCCTTTGCTTTGACATTTGCCTGGTTTTATGCCCCAAGTTTTAGACTTATGCATTTCTGACACATGCACATACTTATATTAGAATCTTTCATTAGGAGCCATATACATAAGGCTAGTTCGGAAAGTATGTAAGCGATTTCTAAAAAATAACAGAATAGAAAAAACTTTTCACAGCTCTTTATAGCTGTTTCAATAAAGAAGGATTAGGTCTAAAAGTTGAATGTACTGCTAAAAACACTTAACAAGTCAGGTTTACACTGTCTATCATAGTAAATTGTTCCCTCTACACAGCACAAAAGATAAATTCTGAAATTTTACTCTCTTCTGGGTTTCATGAACCCGAGACTTTTTTCCTTCTTATAATTATATAGAAACAAATTATAATTTTTCTGTGGTTGAACCATTTTTAAAAGAGTAAATAATAACATAGTGATAAGTTTGCAGAATAAGGTGAATAAAGTAGTTTCCTTTCAAATTTCTGCAACAAATACGATTTGTTTTCAAACAAATACTAAATTTCAAATTTATTCTCCGGTTGTATAAACTTAAACTGGTATCCTGATAAAGTGTATCACTTCTTTCACGGACAACAGTCAGAATATAATTTTATGCCGTGTGATCAAAAATGTAACTCTTGAGCCGAATGCAATCACATCAATAACAATCATGCCAATATCGCGCTTTTAGCAGTTTTTGACAGTGCTGTTATTTTGGCAGGGGAGCGGTTTATCATCCGATTTCATCCATTTTCACACTTTCGGTAATAGTTCTTGTAATAATTGTCCTACGCAAATTTGCCTTTTATAGCCTTGGTGGTCTAAGGGATATGTACATTAAACCTACTAGAAAGCGGCGTCACGCCCTCTTTTCACAAAATTTTCAGCTTACAGATGCGAGCCAAAGTCAGTTAGGAGTGATTGCATAACGATTATTCCGATAGTTTCGAGGGAGACAGGGCCACTACCACCCCGACGGTGCCAAAGCAAGGCGATCTGTTTGATGTGACCATTTTGCATATTGTCCATAAAACATGCTGTGTTTGGTATAAGTGATGTTGTCGGAACCCAAACGGAGTATACTAAGCTACAGCCTGAGCATCCCTCCTCTAAGTCTAATTAATTTAGATTGATAAAATTCTAAAACAACTAGGGGAGGTCCTCCCAGCGATTGCTGTCTGGAGAACAACTTAGAAAATACAAGTATATGGCACATATTCATATCGAGTTTAAACACTTTTCTCAGTCTTATATGCAAACACTTTGCCAAACTTCTTCTGTTTCGAGTCCCTTGGCTGTAGACAAGCAGCAAAGCTTTATTAAGTGCTTACGTTCATAATATGGCTTACAACTGCAGTGTTGATTTATCTCAATAAATGTTTGAAACCCATCGAACTTGCAATATCCTACATCAAAGGTGCATTCCACTGTTCCAAGGAATACAAAATTGTTGTTATGATCGCATAAAAATCTGTGTTTGGAAATAAGTCTGGGTCTATTACGATTATGAAGTCGTTTGGGTGGCGTATCATATCGTAATCGCAGGAAACAGCAAAACTGATGAGCTTGCAGGAAAGGGATCCTTAGCTCAGTCTCATCAGCCAACCACATTTTCACTATAGCGGCACTCGTTCGGTCCATAGTGGAACTTAAGAGGTTCAGTGAATTATTAAGAGCAAGTTAGTTTCTTCTCGCCACAATGAAGGAAGTGATACACTGTCCTAGGAGTGAATACTGTCCTATGAAAGCTAACGTCTCTCTCCTCCACTGTCAAGATTTCGCTATACTAAGATTGAAGCAACTCGGTAGTCATATCTTCAACGGACCAGACGTTTTGGTTGGAATTGATTTTAGCCACCTCAACAAGGCGCTTTGCCGATATGCGATTACCGTTTTGATCCATACTTAGTTCTGGCGTTCCCAGCTCTCTAAGTCCGATCATTCCTAAGTTAACTAATTACAGCCTGATTACCTAACGTAGCTGACCTCACCAGCTATAATGACATAACTGTCATGAAATGTTATTAGATGGGTTTTGAATTCATCTTTCTTACATTATTTAGAGAAATTATATACACTACAACAACAAATAAATAGCGCCACATTCTTTTTTATTAGAACCCGAGCTAGTTAAACCCAAACCAATTACTACCATATGTGAACCCGATGGCTTACGCATAGGTAAGCATTTTATGGACCTTCTTCAATACAATCCCGACACATATCTATCCTCGCCATGACCTAGAAGTGATAGTATATCTTTCATTTGAACTCCACTATTAAGTTTAATAAACGCTTTCTAAACTCGGTTTTCAATGTTGCGAGCAAAGTACCCCTAAAGCATTTCTGTTTGAATAGATTATTTACGAAATTCTTAGTCACTTACCACTACTAACTCTTCAAATTGCGTACATTTCATTTCATTTCGCAGGCCCAATGTCGATGAAGGAGGTCGACATGCAAATGTACAACATACAAAGCAAGAACAGCAGCTACTTCGTTGAATGGATACCAAATAATGTTAAGGTAGCTGTTTGCGATATACCACCGCGTGGCCTCAAAATGTCCGCCACATTCATTGGCAACACCACAGCCATACAGGAGATCTTCAAGCGTATATCCGAGCAATTTACGGCCATGTTCCGGCGTAAGGCGTTCCTGCATTGGTACACCGGCGAGGGCATGGACGAAATGGAATTCACCGAAGCCGAATCGAATATGAACGATTTGATTTCCGAATATCAACAGTATCAGGTAAGAAATTTGTGTATTTGCCAGCAACCCACGGACAAACCATTCGAGTATTCGTTGTTGATTATGTGTGTTGCTGAGTGCATAATGTTGATTGTGGTTGGTGGCAATGGAAATGCATAGGCATGTTGGCTACTCCTGCATGTTGTTTATGTTTGTAAAAGCGCGCTCATTTGTTTGTATGTATGTGTTGTATGAACAACGTGGCATAACCGGCAACGGGAATCGATTGCTTTTAATTAAAAACCGTTGCTGATTCCTGCTATCAATACTTGCTTGAGTTGTTGTTAGTAATGCCTTGATAGGTGTAGCAGTTTGAGGTAGATTGGATCATTTTGGAATGTTGTCGAATCGTTATTCATTTTTCGTTTTTCTTTCCATTTCATTTCACTCCATAGGAGGCCAGCGTCGAGGATGATGTTGAATTCGACGACGAACAAGCCGAGCACGAGGCGTACGAAGATAATGCCATACAAAATGGTGGCCTCTAATGACCAGCTATGTGGAAAATATCGAAATCAAATGGTGTGTGGAGTTGATCGACCTTTCGCCCAACTGTAATGTTTTCAGAACAATAATTAGTTTTGCTGTTGTTCACCTTACAATGTAATTTGCATATAATGTTTTGTTAAGCATAAAACATTTAGTATAATAAAACAAATAAAACTAAAGTTGCAAATATTTTGTACAAACAAAGAATAATATTGCTTTTTACTTTCTGCAATTTGGAGAATATACATTAGTAAATTAAGGTGTTAAACAGATATTCCTTAACTCCGAATGGGGCAGTTGGAGAGCCAGTTGGAGAAATAGTAAAAGCTGATAGTTCCGACTAGGAAACTAATTCTTTATATTTACGAGGTCAAGCCTTAAAGTACTTAAAAAAATACTGAAAGTTGTTAAATATAATTTAAAAAATACGTTACAGAAAGTGACGGATTTGGAAATCAATTATATTGTACCGCACTTGGTTGGGTGTTGGACCAAACAAAGTTTTGACCGAAAAATGTTACACACTATTGTTGTAAGATGTCGAAGTTGATTCTATACATTTTTTTTTTTTTGAACTAAATAGAAATACTTTTTTCAATAGCCTGTTTTTGATAGATGACGCGTGAGTCGTGTCAATGTCGTGTTATTTTTGTGCAATACTAATTGGCATTTCATCATGGAAAGACTTACGCCTAAATAACGGTTACAAATCATTCAACTTTATACGAAAATTCACGTTCTGTAAAGGTTTTTTGTTGCGGGCTTTGCTCAACTTATGGTCAACATAATTGGCATAATGAGCGCACTATTCGAAACAGCATCACCCATCTTGATACCCAGCATACATTATTAGATAATGTTTTCGAGCCAAATTTTGCTCAGCGATGGGACCTCTGGCTCAATGGGTATGTAAACAAGCAAAATTGCCGCATTTGGGTCGAAGAGCAGCCTAAAGAGATTCAAGTGCTGCCATTACATCCAGAAAAAAAAACCATTTGGTGTGGTTGCTGGGCCGGTGGAAACTTCGCACTATATTTCCTCAAAAATAATGACGGTGAGAAAGTAACTGCCAATTGCGACCGTTATTGCGCCATGATAATCGACTATTTGATGCCTGGAATTGAACCTCATGATCTCGGCGACATTTGGTTTCAACAATTCGATGTCACATCCCACACGTCGCATCAATTCATGGATTTTTTGAGAAAAACCTTCGGTGAGCAGATAATTTAGCGTTTGAGTCGATGGTCTGATCACCAAGATCGAGTCTATGAGGACAATCGATTCAGGTCTTGAAGTAAAACATAATGCGTGTCATTCGCCAGTTACTAGTTACTCGAACGAGTCATCGAAAATTGGAGTATACGGGTGGGGCGTCTGAGACATAGCCGCGGCCAAAGTAATATGACTGATTTTCTTGCGAACACCCACTGGATTCGGTAAAGGTCATTCCTTAACGAACGAGCGGCTGGTTAGTTATCGCCGAGCACCTGGAGAGTCAGGACAAACATTTTCGTGTTCTGGAGCAAAGGTACGCAATTAAATTCTGTGTGAAACTCGTTAAATCTACGACAAAGGCGTTTGATATGATCAAGAGACTTATCCAAATGTTGCTTTAGCAAGAAGGCACCAGGTCTTTTTAGAGGACCGGGAAGAGGTCGTTGATAAAGACCGCACTGGGAGACCTGCGACTTCGACAAACACCGACAATGTGACTCGCGTGTGCAAAGTTGTGAACTCAAAACGCCGACTAAGTATTCGTTTAATTCCCTAGATGTGAAATTTATGTTGTTGTTGTTGTAACGGCAGAAATTCTGCCGATTTGTAAGTTCAATTTATCAAAATCTTTGGTTCGTGACATTGCGACGGAGCATCCCAGCCGATTGACCTCCCCCCCCGGACTTTTTTTGTGTCCTTGCCTGAAAAGGCCGATGAAAGGCAAGCATTTTGAGACAACAGATAAAATTTATGATTTTATAAAATCATCATCCATCCGTAAATATTAGTTAGAATTTATAAAACCCTTAAAAAAAATTATTGCTTCACCATGCAATTGTTGGCCAGCGCACTCTACCGTTGCTTAATTCTATTGGTTAAGCTTTAAAAAGTGCAACAGGCTTTGCGAAGCTTTAAGCTACCTAAAGATGTTACTAGCTTTTTGAAGCTCTTAAACACTCTTAACCAATTCCAAAGTTTATTTTTATAGCACGAATCGCTATTTAGTTTATTGAAATGTCTTATCAAAATTATATATTTTATAGCGGATAATTTAGGAGCACATCTTGTCGCGCCAATTCCAACAACATAGGATCATCGAAGAATTTGTTAATAGAAACATCTTCTGACAAGCCCTTGCGACGTCTTGTCTTTATCATAAATTCACGCGCCAGGTGCGAAGCTTGTTGCGGCTCTAATGGTCTTATCACTATAGACTTATCCAACGGATCACCTGGTACAATCTGCCAATGATGAAACACGGACAAGCAAAAGGCCTGTCCCTGTGTATGTGTACGTAAATCGGTCTCGAAACCGAACGAGTCAATGGCTGGTATAAATGCTTTGATGGTGTAGAGGGGTGAACCAGAAACTGGAGCATCTTGTGTTACATGACCTCTGAAAGATAAATTATATTATTTTTGAATAAACTTCCAGATTTACTCGATAGCTAACCTTCTTCGAGCTAAAACTGTATACACAGCCGACACACAATCGGCTGGCGCTTGTACTTCTACGAACAAATATGGTTCCATTAGACGCGGCGTGGCCATGAGGAAAGCGGAATATGCAACACGACGTGCTGTGGGTATGACCTGACCACCACCACGATGCAAGGCTTCGCCAGCTATCACAGCGTCCAATATTTTGAATTTCACATTACGTATGGGCTCCTCGCAAAGCGGTCCCTCACGCGTACCCCATTGGAAACCTTGTACTATAGAGTCCTTAACCGAGGTAAGTAAATTCTTATCTACTTCGGATGGCAGTGTATCATCGACCAGAATGTTTGGTCCAGTTGCATCTGGTCCGAACGCCCATATTGAACGTGCCGCCAGCAAATCCCAATCATAATTTACTTGGAAGAACTCGCCGAGTCGTTTTTTATTCCAATTAATTGACACTACTTCATTTTCGATATCCTCCGCGAGCCCTTTTTCCAACGGCTCGGAAATCATGGTGATCTTGTTCTTCTTATTTGGTGTCTCAGCGAAACATTTCAGCGAACTGGTCTCTACCACAGTCTCGCAGAATGCTACCACAGGATCAGCAACTTTGATGTCAATTTCCGAATACATTTTACGCAAATCATGCATCACACAATCCAAATAAAGTTCGCCAGTGCCAAGTATGACATGTTCTCCGGATTCCTCTACACGTGTCGATAACAACGGATATGATTTATTAGCTTTACGTAAGCCATCCAACATTTTCGGCAACTCCGAAGGATTTACTGGTTCCACGGCGATTTTTATTATACTCTGTGTATTGAATTTCAACGGTCGGAAAATGTACAAGTCTTCAGGCGCATTTATGTCCACAATAGTGGATGTCTTAACAATGCACTGATCAATGCCCTCAATTAGTACCCAATTGCCAGCCGGTACACGATTTAACTCCACTTTGTAACGTGCTTCGTATACCCACAGTCGACCTACTTGCAAAACTCGAGAGTCTTCTTCATCTTGCAGCGTGTAATTTTCACCCAGCACCCGCACTTCCTGACCTGCGTGCAACGTGCCAGAAATTACACGCGCCATAACTTGGAAAAATGTGCAGTCGTCCGTGGGATACATTTTAGCGCTGTGCACCATTAATGTGCCATTTTGATTGCATTCCATCATATCTTTATAAATTTCGCCTTCTTTCGGTCCAGTATATATGTGATCCACCTTACGTTTAGCGTTATCCAGTGGCGAACTAATGTGCTCCACACACATATCAACAAAGCCATTGAAATCACCCATAAAACGATTGCAAACCAGACGTAAAAGTGGGCGTATATTCGATTTCATTTCCTCCTTAGTGATACGAATATTCAGCTCAGCCAATGTATCGGAGAGTGTAGTATCAACATCGCCAACGACTTGGGCAATAACCTTATACATAGGTTCCAAAATAAATTCGACAAAACTACGTTGTGCTGAGTTATGCGGTGGCTTTTTAGTAAACTTACGACTGTGAGAGAGAATGTAATTGTTAGCTTGGACTAATCAGCAAATTATATTTAAACTTACGATTTACTGTGGAAATACATATCACCCCACAAACGCTTGGCGAATTCTACGTAATTAACGCCATTATAAGTGTCCGCATAAAGTTTTGCGAAGGATTTCAAAGTAAAACAAAAACCATACAGCGAACTAGCGAAACACACATTGCCCAAAGCCGGTGAAACTAACAAATTGTCGTTGCCACTGCCATAAGTGCTGGAATCAATTGACATTAGCTTCGTATATACAAAAAATTCTAAACGCTTACATACCTCAACAACGCATTTATTTCTTCCACAATATGTTTGAGCTTGAAATACGCATCCTGTGGTGGTAATTTCAACTCCAAAACCAAACGATCAATCTAAAGCAAATAGAGTATTTAACAATAGCAACAGAATTGTATGTCATACCCAAAACTAACCTTATTAATGCAAACAGTTATTGCCATTTTCTCTTGCACTGCGTGCTTCAGCAAGCGTTCAGTATTCAGCATTACACCTTCGGCTGCATCTACAAACAACACAACACCATCGCACATACGCATGGCTGCCGTCACTTCATCCGAAAAATTCACATGACCGGGCGTATCAAAAACATTCATCAGAAAGCTTTTTTGCTTTACATCCTGCAAAACTAAAGTCACTGGTGTCGCCTTGATACTACAACCTCGCTCCTGCTCGGTAAATAATGTATCAGTGTAGCGAAGTGTGCGCTCTTCAGCTTGTTCGAATTGTGGATGGGTCTGACGTATTAGACAATCTACAAATGTTGTTTTTCCGTGATGTAGATGCCCCACTAGTGCGACGTTTCGTATTAATGGTGGCGTGTCCATCAAATCTGCCATGAATTCCATGTTATACGTAGTTTCAGGAAGTTCTTGTTCTTTAATTTGAAATTTTAGTTTCTTAATGGGTTCAATAAGTGGCTTATCGAGTGGTTGCGCATCTTCCTCTTGAACAATAGTTTCCACGTCAGGCCCATACACTTCGATGGCTGTGGGATAATAACGTTTGTCTTCATGCAATACAACCGCCGTCACTTCTTTATCTTCGTCATCTTGGTGCTCCTCCTCTTCATCCATAGCATCCTCCTATTTTGTTTCATTGGATTAATACTTTGACCCTAAGACCATTAATGCACTTACGTCTTGTTCGTCCTGCGGTTCTTGTTGCCCGTAAATGCTTTGGTCATCATCTTCATCACTGTCTAACTCGGGTCCAATGTAGTTGCCGAACTCATCATACAAATCCGCATCCATATTAACGTTTCAAGAATTTGATATTTTACACTTCTGCAACAACTATTTTAGTGAAATTTATTCATAAACGTTTACAATCATCAACACTTGTTCACATTAACTTTCACAATCAGAAAAACATGTATTAAAACATAATAGCCCTATTTTTCATTGACATTAAAAATGGGATGTTACTTACAATTCAAATCTGTCGTTTTAAATATTGTTTAAAGTAAATATTATATTTTAGCTCACGATGTGTAAAATTTACTTTACTTTGCGCGTTTCCCAAACTTTAAGCAAAGAATACCGGCTGTTTACAGCGTTGTATTTGTATTATTCAAAGCATTTTTTCAAATGTTAGTTGAACACAGCAACCCTAAATCTAAAGGTGTAAATACACGGACGATGATTGCGAATAAAAAGTCGAATAATCGTCAAAGGCGTTCATTCAAGTGAAAAATAATGGCATATGAAAATGTATATGGTACATCTAAAGTAATATTTCATAGTCTCCGTAATGACGATTTGCCTTCGCATCAGATGATAATAAAATTGTACTTTTCAGTTCTTTCAAACATTTAATTAATTAATTATATTAACTCAAATATTTAAGCTAAATAATGTTAATATGATACACAGTTAAGCGTAATTAAAAATATCAAGGAACTGAGAATTATTTATGTACACAGGTTATTATATATTTTTGCTAACCTTTCATTTACTTAACGTAATATTTCAACTTTAATTTATAACATTATTATCAATGCTGCACACTCTCTGACGATTTGAAGGCATTAGGACCAGAATAATTTTCTATTAGCAAAGATTTGTAGCGTCTCAACTGTACACTGTATCCTTCATCACGCTCATTGACGTCGAGTACAACTACACGAGATATCACCAAATGTGTTGGATTTGCCTGACTAAAACCACGCACTACGTCGACCTCATCTCCTACATGGAGCTACGTTCATGGGATAAATATTTTAGAATCTGATTAAAAAACATAATTAGTGATGCTATACCTGAACGCTTTTCTTGTTAATTTTTTTCCCATTCACTCGTACTTTGCTCTCATAGAAAATAGTCTCTACTTTGCTGCAATGATAAAAGCAATGAGAGTCTATCGTTTGTTGTTTCGTGTAAACATTTACTTCCTAGCCATTCCCAAGCCCGCTTTCAGTACCAAGTCCGCGCGTAGGGAGTTTACACTAGTCTTCAATACTTTAGAATCGCGTTCATCCTTAAACTCAGCAGTCCTCTCATCGTCACTATCTTCGTCGTCATCTTGTTGTTTGGAGTTTTTATTATACTTGTGGAGGACATCTCCTATATGAACTTGTCGACACAACTGTAGCTGTTGACTGCTACATAAGTTATTGGTAATATCAGTGGTCTTTTGATAAATAGTAAAATTCCGCCGCACAGACGGCGTCTGCAACGCGTTATTTATTCTATTGAAATTTTTTAGATGTCGTAATTTTAACATTTTAATTCTAAAAGAACTAAACGTTGACAGACGCAATGTTGCGAAAATAAACCGTAAAGCATAACCAAAAAAAACGGCATAACCTCACTTAAACAGCTGAGTGAGAAAGCTACCATACGAAATATTTAACTTAAAAATTGTTGCAAAAAAATTAGTTTTTATTTTGTTTATTCTTTTTTTGTATTTTCTTTTTAGGTTTCCTATTCGGATTAGGTTGTATTTTATGTACAGTAAGTGGTTGATAAATATCTGGCAGGAAATCATCTGAATCGCTAAATGTATCAACACGTTTTTCCTCCATTTGTTGTGTAGTGTCAGCAGCTTTCATTTCGTCATATTGTTCTGTAGTTGCGTGCTTTCCAACACGTTCAGCTACTTTGTTTAAAACTGCAAACAAATGTTTTTCATACTCTATTGAGTCAGCTTTAGCAACTTCCTTTCCTTCAGTAAATGAAATAAAGCCGTCATTGCTTTTAGTAATATTTTTAATTTCTTGTGTTTGAACATCAACCACAGGCGGCTGCTTACAATCTTCAATTGCTGGAATTTTCCTTTGTATTTTTTTATTTTTTGGTTTTTTTACAGTTTCTGGCTTTAGTTGCTTTGTGTGTGCTGTAATCCACTGTATAATCGAATCATCCATGTTAGTTTCTTTCATTTCATCAACTGTGGGAAATACCACACACAATGCTTTAATACCAAAGACATTTTTGGTGACATTCTCCAATTGATTTTGCACAAAAACAGGAACTGTTGCATTTTTTGCTTCAACATTCCGTGCTATTAATCTGACCAAAATTCGTGGTTGTATACTACGTGATATCAGAACGCAGGAGCATTTAAAATTATTAATGGCGCGCAGACTGCTTTCCAAGCCCAAGTGAATATGCCTTGATGTAACAAATGGTTGAGGCTCTAGGCCACTTTTGCTGATAACCTCCTTTAGTAAATTGACTAATTCTTGTAATTCGTCATCTTTGAGTGAAGGACTAAAACAGAAATTGAATTCAAAATGGAGAACGTAGTAAGCCATACAAATTATTTACTTACCATTTCTCCTGGAATGGATTTGCCAGAATTGTTTTCAATTTTGGCAAACCCTTTCGCTTTCCATTCTGTTTATTCGTGTTTGTACTCATTTTTTCACCTTTGTATTGAATAAAAACGTTATTAGCTAAATTTTGAGAGATGAGAATTAAATTCGGAAATTTATTAATGCGGGCAAAAGCAAAACACAGCTGATCAATTGAATATGCAGGGCTGCATGTTGTAGAGAATAAAGTATTTGGAGTAATCGATAAATAAGACAATAATATCGCTTTTAGTCTTAAACTAAACAACTCGTTTAAAATTTTGTCAAGTATTGGTATTACATATATTAAAATGATCAAAAGATACGCAATAACTGCATATATTCTAGGTTTTTTCATATTTATTTAAAATTATTAACTAAACTACTTATTAAAAGTAAAATTAATATTCATCTAATGTAGGCATCACGTCAGTATCGTAAGTATATCTCACGGGGGTTTTTATTATGTCCTTAACCTCAACGGCTATATTACTATTATTATTAATATGATCTGTAATTGTTGCATTTTCAGCGTCCATTATTGATGTTTCTGTGTTTTCAGATGTTTCAGTAGGGCTCCAAGTACTATCAATATTTGCTTCTTTAGTATTTGAAAGTTTTTCTGGTATAAATAATGATGTGCTTGGTTCAATCGTATTTTCTGTTGTCAAAAAGGGTGATGCTGTGTCCACTGTTGTTGTAGTTTCGGCACTTTCGTATATTTCTGTAGAAGTTTCGTCGTTACTACAACAAACTACAGTGGTGCTATCGAACTCAGAAGATATTCTTGTAGTATCTTCGACATCCCACGCATTTGTTGACCTTACCGTTATAAAACTTGTCGTTTCTGTATTAAACATGTTTTCAATAATTTCTGATAATTTGTCTGTATTGGTTGTTTCTTCTCCGCTTTCAGTACTTGCCCAGTTGGAGGTTGTCGTTTCCATAGCTGTCGTTGATTCATTAGCTTTCTCTGTGGTAGTTTCTTCTGTGGAGACAGTCTCCTCTGTTGGCATTGTTTCAGTTGCTGTTATCTCATAAGCATTTGTTGTAATTGTTTCCCCACTTGGATTTTGGGTGGATGTCACCAACAAATACAAAGTTAATGCATCAGCCACCTCAGTTGAATAATCCTCCAAAGTTGGCGTTGATTCAGTTTCCGTTTCGCCATAAATACTTGAAGTTGTCGAAATAGTTGCATCGGTTGTAATAATATCTTGTTTTGTTGTAATGCTCCCCTCACTATCATTCTCCGTGAACCAGTCCTTCATATTTACCGTAATTGCATTGGCCGTCTCAGTTGTAGAATCCTCAAACATTGTTGGTGTGGTCAATTCATTTTGTGTTGTTGCCCAACTATCAGTGGTCCTATCGTCTAGTGTGGTTTCAGTTGGAAATGTTTCTGTTGTTGTTGACTCAGTCACATCAGTGTGCTGAGAGATAGCTTCCTCTGTGGTTTCCACTACCGATGTTGTATCCGAAACTTCTGTAGTTTCTGAGGTTATCGTTGATACCTCTGTAAATTGCGTATCCTTGGTGGTTACCACAGCAATGCCGGGCGTCTTCGTGGTTACCTCAGTTGTAAATGTTATGTCAGACTTTATTGTTGTAACATTCTTCTTTCTCAAAGGTGTATACGGTGCATATTTTTTTAGTACAGGCGTTTTGTAATTTCGCAGGCTTTCTTTTACTAAAACTACGAATTCGGCTCGTGATATTGTGGCAGGGTTTTGTAAATTCCGTGAGTTATAAGGCGGATAGCTAACTATTTGATATAGTGATTCGCTGCAATTTGTTGGCTTATGTTTTCTCACATACTCTACAATATTTATAGCACTATAAACAAATCTGAATCTGAGAATTGTCGCACAAATCGCGAAAATCAAAACGAACCTCATTGTGATTTGAAGTATGAAATTGCACTGAGACGGCAAAAAATTGTCACCCGAATGCAGAGGAGGATATTAAAAAGATGAGAGTATATGTGTACCTGCGTGTACACGCAGTTTTCCATTATCTGTGTTTGCCATAGTCTTCTTCGAAACTTACCTGGCATAACTACACATATTAGTTTACATACCTAAAATCCATTAGAGCAAAAGAGCTCTTCCTTAAAAAATATGTATGTATACTTCTGTATGTTGTTGTAGCCTTTATTTTAGCTGTAGCTTAAGAATTCGCCGTTGCAAATTTTCATTATTGTCTGGATGTCTGCCAAGTTAATGATCGTATCGAATGCTAAGGGATCAGTAGGGTAATCTGGCCTGTTTTTTGACATTTTTTTTTCATAGAAATTTTCATTCCACAATTGAACTTTTTTCACATATCATGAGGTATATCGTGGAGTGTATAAACAACTTTTTTCGAAGTTTTTCCTCAATTTTTTCTGTCGGAGAAATGGCTGGGTGAATGAGATGCGTTTTTTCACTGGCGGACACGATTTCTCATGTTTGGATCATCTGAAACACATATGTAAACCCAATTTATTCTTAAAAAGTACGTGAAACGTCCATACAAGATTAATCATGTTTTATATTTTATTGACAATGTTGTGACAAAATCTATGTACAAAAAGTTAACAAAAAAAAAAAATCTTTTTCTTTATCAAGATTTTTTCATGATTCTAATAGGGACGATAACCATTCACTCTTTGAGAATAAATTGGGATTTTGTGTTTCAGATGATCAAAACATGAGAAATCGTCGCAGTGTTTTGATCTGGCTAAGAGAGCTGACCATATACTATACATACATACATACATACATACACATAGAGGCGTGGGTAAAACGAGTGTTTAAGAGAACTATGTTTCTACTGAACTAATATTATAAATACAAGCCATTGTCAGACAGGAGGAGTGAATGACAACCCATTAATTTCCGTTGAGTCATCGCGATCCAGCTAGCGCAAGACAATTTGTTTGCTGCGTTCGTGTTACGTACTGCTCTTAAAAAAACTGCCAACCTCACAAACTAATAGTAAGAATTAAAAAAAAAAAAAAACGGGAACTACAAATTGTGCACAAATTTCTTTACACATGTTATGAAGTTTTGTACGTTTATCCAAGACATTTTGAATGATATATTACTTACCTAAATAATGTCCGCTACCAATTATTGAAACGTACTCATGTCCGGTTATAATAGTTGGGTTTGTATGAAAATAATAATCAAAACGTTGTGTTCATGACATTTGTCCAATTATGGGAGATGTGCGGCTGCCCGTAATGTACATATGTATAGTATACACTAGTGTTAAAAATAGGTGTACTTATACATTTCTAATTTCAAATTAATTCAAAGATTTCTTCAACTTACTTTTCAAATATTTAACTTTAATTATCCCACATAAGTTTATCAATGCCTTCAGCTGCTTATGTTATTATAACACATTCACATGCTTGCAAGCACTAGCACGAAGTACTCCTAGCAACTCTAATTGAGAAAATTGTGGTTAATGTATTATAAATACAACTGTTCGAACAAATAGTATTTGCCGAAACCTCTCACTACAGAATTAATTTACTTTCAACGCTATACTTTTTCCATTTTCATATTTAAAATCACAATTTTTCACTCACGAATCGGAAACTAATGCGCGACGTTTGAAATGGCGGCGGAAACTGGGCAAGGAAGAAGGAAAAAACTTGCCAATATGTTAAAAATATAATTGTATTCGTTAAGGCACACAGAGATGCAAGTATAACGAAATTAAAAAGCTGCATACAAAAATGTTTCGCTAAATTAAATGTTTATAATTAAAATTAAAGTGCAGTAGAATGAATAATAATAATGAATATAATATGTGAAAATAATAAGTAAATAATTTTAGTGCGCGGAATCTATTTTATTCTTCTTTTTTATAGGCGTAGACAACGCTTACGTAGGTTTAGGTTTACGCTGTTTGGTCCCAATTGGAGATTTCAAATGTAGGCATGTCCATCTTCACCTGATCTTTTCAATGGAGTGTAGGTCTTCCTCTTCATATGCTTCCTTCGGCGGCTACTGCGTCGAATACTCTCAGAGCCGGAATGCTTCAACCGGACGATATGACTTAGCCAACGCTAAGTCTCCGCGGTCTCTTAATTCGCTGAATTATGTCAATGTCATCGTATGTATATCTGCGATTTTCGGCGGTGCCAATACGGAAAAGACCATACATCTTCCGCAGAACTTTTCTCTCGAACTCGTAATGCAGAATGATCAGATGTTGTCATCGTCCATGCTTCTGCACCATAAAGCAAGACGGGAATAATGAGTGACTTGTTAAATTTGGTCATTAATAGTCAAAAGAAGGAATCATCTCTCCCTAGGGTTGCGCACTGGCTTTGGGACCCGCCTCTTTTTTGACCTCCCTTTTTTGATCTATTTTATTATTCGATCATATTATGAGAAACATAGTAGTGCTAATTTTATTTACATTATATATAGATATGAGGAAAAAGTTTTCAACACAACTGAAAATGAAAAAGAAACAAATATGTAGATTTGTATTGTTAATAGTTTTATACTCAAGTAAAAGGCGATCTGGCATCACTTATTTTTTGTGCACTTTATCTTCTATGGAATATTGTGCCATCTATTGGAGCGGGCTATTACGTTGCTGTTCCTAAACATAATTCTTTATCAAATAAAATATTATCAGTTTCTAATTAAATATTTATATATATTCACTAATTACTATCTTTTATGCTTTTAAATATATTAAACATTTTACTAAACTAAACTTTAAAATTATTTTGTGATATAAATGCAACTCTGTGTTTCTTTGTACTTATCTCCAGTTTCCGTCGCCATCTCAAATGGCGCATGTCAGTTTCCTATGAGCTCTTGAAAAATTTGTGAAAAGTGTATTTTTTTACATAAAATACCATTAGAAATAAAGTGTTAAGTATTAAATGTGAATGGTGTGCGTGTTTTAAGTGAAAATATGTATATATTGCTTGCTGTTTATTAATTGCTCGGTCAATCTACACGCTCATGCATTTTGTTTAAGCGCTCTGCGCACTAAAAGTTGGTCTTAGTGATTTTTTGTGTGAAGTTAGAAAAAACCTATTTAGTAATTTGTGTATTCACGGCTGCCTCTTAAGAAGGATTTAAGCATAAACTGGAAAGAAGGTGAGTCTTTTAAATAATTCCGTAAAATTCACACTATAAAGAGCATTGAAATGAACTGCATGTAGCGTTGCTCCCCTCCCTGGCTGGTCACAAAACTGTTCTGTGGCCAGTAAGTGCATTAAAATATTTTAAAGCCAATGGTGTACAGGTATCTTCTTAGTATAAATACATAAAACACATTTTGTGTGCATACTCCAAATATTTCCTGTCAACATTAATTTTATTCAAATCTTCGGAATCGAAGGTTTTGCAGTCAAACGCAATTTTTGCTGTTCATAGCAAGAACATGCAACGTTTTGAAGCTCACAGAAAACTTATTTGATAGCACACGCATTTTAATTTGCAGCGTTAAATATTTATAAAAATGTAAAAAAATGGTACTAAAACTATTGAATAATATTTTGGCCGATATTTTAAAAGAAAACTCATACTCGTTGCTATGTTACCGTTTTAAAACTTATCATTCACTTTTTTTATTGTATAGTGTACTATATAAATTTATTTTTATATAAAATAATTGTTTTTGCAATAAATATTGAGAAAAAACCATTAAGCCTTTTTTTGTTTCGAGAAACCGAAAAATAATTCCAATTTGTTTGACAGAGACCACGGTCGACAATTTTAGAAACTGCTCCGTACATTGAATAGGGCGACTATGTGAAAAAAAAAAACAAAAATCGTTTAGTGAGCTTGGTTTCCTCTTTCAGAGAGAAATTATCATATATAATATACATATTTTTATACCATCAGAAATTAGATATTTCGACTATTAATAAGCTAACCCACTTTTCTTAAAAAAAACGGATATTTTTATGAGAAAGTTTTCCAACAAAAATTAGGGTCCTATTCGTAAATTAAGTCAAATTAAAGTACAAAAATTAATATTTAACCTTAAAAAAATACAGCGTATTTGGGACATAAAAAGGTTAGCTTAAACAAGTTTCAGGAAGGAAAAAAATTGTTATTTGAAAAAAGTAGAAGACTTTTTTATTAAATACAACTTTGACCTGTAAATTTCCCCCTATAAGGTTTGTAGTTTTTCCATAAGTCAAGGTAAAATGGTCTTCTTCTAATATCTTCAAACATTTTATACTTGTATGTAGTAGATTTTATATATGAAAAAATATTCTCATCGTTTCAAAAAATTACATCAAGAACTTATATTTAAGTGTTTTTGCGAATCTATTACGTTAATTTGTTTTACCATTACAATTTTTAACATATCATCTTTATATCATGTTGTTTTAGTTTGAAACTATTCTCGAATTCGTTTCCTTAATTATTTTGCTATGACTCACTGTTGAAATACGTATTTACTTCGAAGGTATTATCAACGAAGTTTTTGACTAAAAATGTGGAAAAATACGAGTACAAGGCTACGACAGTTTCGTCCCTCTGCTCATTTTGTAGTGCGCTTGACTTGAAAAACGAAGGATGGAAAGTATTTTTTCAAAACTAAAGGTTCCCAACTTTTTAAAGAAAATATATAGAAACTTCTAATTTAATTAACCCTGCTGTTAGGTTAAGACCATTTGGTCCAATTTTTTTATGTTTTCTTTGTAACTTTGGAACGGTGATATATACTGTCTAAATTTTTCAGCTCAGGTGGTCTTTTTATAAAAAAATATTATGTGCGAAAATTTAATTCTCTGACTTAAAACTGGACTAAGAAAAATTGAAAACTACGAATCTTAGGTTAAGGGACCATTTGGTCCATATTATATTTTCTTTGATTTTCTTTACATTAATTTTCCAAAAATAAGTATTTATTAGTTTGTTCGATATTGTTTGGCACTTCATGATGAGCAAATGTTTTTCGGTTGGTTT